TGTGTGTGTGTGTGTGTGTGTGTGTGTATTTTTTAGATGTTGATGGACCTTTATTTTATTTATTTTTATGTGGTGCTGAGGATCAAACTCAGTGCTTCATACATGAGGTAACTGAGCTACAACCCCAGCCCCATGTTGTGCTTTTTCTCTGCCTGCATGTTTAATACCTGTTGTTATTCTGTATCTTTCTGCCTCTTGCTCAGTATCCTCCTTCCCATTCCCCTGCTCATTCTCTACCTATTGGTTCCATTTTCTCCCATGACAGGCATTTCCCTTTTTTTTTTTTTTTTAAATACACACCTCAGCACTAAAAAATAACAAGATCATGGCATTTGCAGGCAAATGGATGGCATTAGAGCAGATTATGCTAAGTGAAGTTAACCAATCCCTAAAAAACAAATGTCGAATGTCTTCTCTGATATAAGGGGGGGTGACTCAAAATGGGATAGGGAAGAAGAGCATGAGAAGAAGACTAACACTAAATAGGGAAGAAGGTGGGAGGGAAAAAGAGGGAGAAGGGGAGTTGCACAGAAGATGGAAGGAGAACCTCATTATTATACAGAATACATATATGATGTTGTAATGAGAAAAAGGGGGAAAAAAAGTGTGTCACTTTAGATTGGATAGAGAGAAAGGATGGGAGAGGAGGGGAGGAGTAAGGAGGATAGGAATGGACAGCAGAATAGAATTGACAATATGATTGATGTATGTACATTCCATGTATGTATTATATGTCAAAATTTATTCTGTTGTCATGTATGACTAAAAATAAATAAATAAAGAATTAAGGACCTGGGGGAAAAAAAATCCTGATTTGAAAAAAAAAAAATACACGCCAGCGGAATGTATTAATGATAGGCATTTTCATGTGGCTTTATTAGGCAGTATACTGTTGTCTCCAGGTGAGCAACTAGAGAAGAAAGGATGCTTTATATATAACTCCAATTACTAAAATCCAGAGAAAAATTTCTTTATACCTCAGCTTACAATAGTGAGGAAATAAGGCACTATAGCCACTAGAATCTTGAAATTTAAGATGGAAACAGCAGTTGCCAAAAAAGAGAGCTTCTTCAGGACAGACAATACAGTAAATGTTCAAAATAGGAGTTGAGACAAGTATTTGGGTGAAACTTCCATAGTCTTTATTAATATACTCACACTTGAGTCTTTTTTTCTTATATAGAATTCCTGTGTCCAATTCATTTTTCTGTAACTGCTTTAACATTCATGCTTTTTCATTTATAATATGAATCAAGAGTGTAATATTCAGAAATATTGCCTAATAATCCACTTCAGAATGGTTGTATTTTTTAAAACACATCTTCATTACTTTTTGTGCATTACACTTAATTTATACTTTTGTAAAAATTGCTGGTTCTTTTAGAGATATATGACATAATATATTACCAAAGTTGTGGTTGTTGAATTCATTTTAAAGATTAGTTAGAATAATCTCAGCCTTTTTCACACTGTTAGATCTAGTGATAAGGCAATGGAAAACAAGGAGTATCCATCTTTTAAGATGAGCCTATTTTAGCAGTACTATTCTACCTTGTTTCAAACTTTTGGTTTTATATGGTTTTGATTTGGGGCTTGTGTGTGTATGTGTTTTGGTATTTTGTTTTGTTGTTATTTTTGCTTTTGTTTTTATTTTGTACCTGGGATTGAACCCATGGGCACTTAGCCGCATCCCCAACCCTTTTTATATTTTTTATTTATAAACAAGAGTCTCAATGCTGGGGCTGGCATTGAACTTGTGATATTTCTGCCCCAGAGAAATATCCCAAGCCACTGGGCCATCATGCCTAGCTCAGACTTTTGTTTTGAATTTACATGATCACCTACCATCTAGCACCTATGATGAAAGAATATATTACTTGTAAAGTCATTGTTGTTGAACTTTCTCTTTCTCATACTTCATGTTTTAGAAACCTTTGAGTTTAAAAAAAAAAGCAAGTGTTTTCTGGAAAACAATATATTTAGTGATTTTTGAATATCTTAACCTTTTTATACTTCCTGGCTCAGATTTATCACCTGGAAATCTTACTACGGAAAGATAAACATGTATTTGAGACACAAAGAAACCTTTTATAAATAAGCGTCATTTCATTGTAATCTTAACACAGCATGCATTGTTGCCTAAATTCATTTTAATATTTAGTAAGGACACAAGTTTGAGTTATTTCAGACTGTGATATACAATATTTTAATATAAAATGATAAATGATTAAAATTTCTTTCTGTAGGCTACAGAGAGTGAAGTAGGAGATGTAGATTTAACACGTCTTCCAGAAGGACCTGTTGATTCTGAGGATGAAGAAGAAGAGGAGGAAGAGATTGATAGAACAGATCCATTGCAGGGGCGAGATCTTGTTCGAGAATGTCTTGAAAAAGAACCTGCAGACAAAACTGATGATGACATTGGTAAGAAATACATCTGTTCATATAGTTTCCTAGTGTTTCTTAACAAAGTACTCTGAAAACTTAATGCCTTAAAGCAGTGTACATTTATTCTTTCATAATTTTTATGAATCAGAAATTCAGGGAACTATAAAAGAACGATGAATATCTGGAGGCTTGGATCATTGAGAACCATCTTTGAGATTAGCTGACACAGTTTGTAAAACAAAAATTTAATTTCATTAAACTCATGTCCATATGTATTTAAAACAGAATAATAATGTCCAAAGTTTGTGAATTAGCTTCTTAAAATTTTTCAAGAATCATATTTTTATTTTCCTAGCTTAAATTTTTGGGTAAAACTTAATGCATATTCCTCTGTAATTTATTAAAGAATTATTTAGTACATTATTAGTTGGCAAGTTGAATATTAAATATGTTGATGTTATCTTTGAGGAACAAAGGATTACTCAACGTCAAGTATATATTGTTAGAATTCAATCAATGTTTTCTCATATTGCTATTCAAATCAGAAGATGCTCTTGCTAATAACAGCCATAATTTATATCAGTAAAGATCAAAATATTTGAACATTCATTACCATTCCAAAGATATATAATTTAATATGAACATTAATATGAACAGAAACTGGAAGTATTGTCATGGAGAAGGTGTTTTTGTTTTTGTCTTTTGCAATGTTGAGAATCAAGTCCTCAAACATACTTATGCAAGCACTTAACTTCTGAGTACATCCCCAGCCTGAAAGTGCATTTTTAATGGTAAAGAATTACATGCTACACTGTCTTCTGAGTTTTTTAGAAATTGAAATGTAAGTATTTCCAAATATCTGTGAGCATAGAGCTCCTTATGGTTATTTCTGTTAAAGCCTCCGCGTGACTAACTGTGTTTCTCCTTTTTTCTTTCTTCCTTCTTTGCCACTACCTCTCTGCTAGAGCCATTAATTCAGAAACTGGCAAGGGGCATTAAGGGATTGAGAAAAGACAGACAAACACATAGAAAGTTGTACCAAGTGGGACACCATCTTCTGATAGAGTAACAGTGACCCAGAGGTAGCTCAGCACATTTATTATATAGGTTTTATTATCAAAAGGTTATTTGTGGGAAGGTTTCTGCAAAGCAGGCAAACTAAAGGACGCAGCACTGGGGGAGACATTTGTGTTATCTTATTATGCTCAAGAGTTCTCTATCCCTGGGAGCTGGTGCCTGAGCTCAAGGTCCAGACTGATATAACTCCATGCCTTTGCACAGTTTCTTCAAGCCAGGTGTCACCATAGCAACTGAGCAATCTTGACCTGTACAAAGGTACAGGTCAGAGAAAACACAGACTGTCACAAATCATGATCCAAGTCACTGCTTTCCACACTTCTTTTTTTTTCTTTTTCTTTTAATCCCCTGCCATACTGAGAATTGAAGCCAGGGTCTTCCACATGTGAGACAAGCACTCTGCCACTGACCTATATCCCCAGTCTTCTTATTTCTTTGAAACATGATCTTATTAAGTTACCCAGGCTGTCCTCATGATCCTCATCTCTCTGTTTCCTGAATAGCTGGGATTATAGGCATGTGCCGCCACCCCCAGTCTGTTTCTCCCTTGTATTTATCTTTATTGTTCATGTGTCTGTATACTAAAAAATGCCTGAGGAACCCATCAGCCTTTATTGTAGTACGTAGTTGCTTTGACAAATCTTGAACTACATTACACATGTATTGCTCCTAACAGTTATTTATTGGCATTGATGAGTTACATTTAAAAAAAAGAAAGAAAAATCCCTAGCCAATAAGATTAGAAAAAAGACTTTTTTCACTAATCTGATAGGTCTAATGGCATCACTAATCCAAAATACAATGGCATCTCCGGCTAGGCAAATTAGATAAGCTTTCCAGCTTTATCTCACTTTGAGTTCATTGTTTTCTCTAGGGGTTATAAATTCTGATATCTTTCCATATGCCCATATTTTATGTATGAATCTGAAATATATATGTAAAGTAAATAACTGATATTTTTTTCAGTCAATGGTCTTTGTAATCTGGCTTTCTCTACTCTAGCAGCATAAATTCACAAGTCAGTTATGAAATTGGATATTGAAGTCTAGATTTTATTCTCTTTTAGTGTATCATCCTGAAATTTGTTTTTTATAGAACAATTACTTGAATTTATGCACCAGCTTCCTGCTTTTGCCAACATGACCATGTCTGTACGGAGAGAGCTCTGCTCAGTGATGATTTTTGAAGTGGTGGATCAGGCTGGAGCTATTATTCTTGAGGATGGGCAAGAGGTAGGTTAGCAAATAAATGTCACATTATTTAGTATGGATGCTAATTTCTACTAATTTTACTTTTAGAAGAATTTTATTTCCATAACCTCGTGTAAATCCTCACTTTTGAAATTTAAACTGAACAATGAGCTAGAAGGAACACTTAAATTTGAAGTAGTTATGATTTCTAAGGAGAGAAATTTTTTCTTTAGCTTTACTTTATCTTAATTTTTATTTCCTAGCAATGGATTTTGTGCAAAATAGATAACAAATTTGGTTCAACAAATATTATTTATTTTCACTTCTCAAGGTTTTTAATTATTATTCATGTATTTATATCATTGTTTAAAATGTTTATAAAGTTAAATGTATGTATTCTCCATTTTCTTTCTCTATATTAACATGAAAAAATGAGGCAAATTATTGGTACCACTGCCTCCTACTGGACAAATCCCAATTGGGGCATTTATGTGGCAATTCTGTGTTTTAAACTGCTTAGATAGATGCACCTGAGTGGAGAAAGGATGCAGTGGGATTAGAAAGTACGACTATTGTTAGAAAGTGTTTTGCTATTTTTCTTATCAAGTTAGTAATGATTAATGCTGAGATATTGCTGAACATTGTCATTTATTTCTAATAGGAATAAAAATTGGTATAGTATTTCTGGAAAGCATTTTTCTAAATGTCAAAAGATGTTCATTATAGCATATTTGTAATAGTAAAAATTGGACGTGACCCAAAATATCCAAGAATAAGAAATGGTTATTCAAATTATTACATAGCCACAGAATATGACATATGCTGGGCAAGTATTCTACCACTGAACTACGCCCTCAACTTCTCACATTATTTTAAAATTATTTGATGGAAATTCTGTGAGGGCAGGGGCCAAATCTCTAGTGTTTTTTGTTTGTTTGTTTGTTTTTTAACATATTTTCTCTTTACATTCTACACATAAAGTGTGCTCCCCAAAAAGTTTGGTGAATAGATGAGTATAGCATTAAAGTTTTTTAAAAAGCAGAATAATATAAATATCTTAACTATTCAAAATGATATGCACACAGATGAGAAATAAGCCAGACTTCCCCCCACCACCACAATTTTTTGTGTTGTCTTAATTTCCCACAGTTCCATCAGCAAAAATTTGTTGTATGTCAGCTGTGTAGCAGCTTCTGCTCTAGACCCAGGGATGTAGTGGAAAAAACTGGGTAGTCCCTATTCTCAAATAGCCTATGTAATCCACAAGTTCAGTAGTGAGTATATTTTACATTTAAAACAGTTAAAAAAAATACACTTTGTGAAAAAAAGTATTTCTTTATACACTAATTACCTTTTGGAACTGACAATCCTAGATTTTCCCTTAACTCACATTAAAACTATTGAAGGTTTACCATAAAATAAGAAGGGTTGTTTATTAAAGGGAATTAAATGGTCTTTTATTGACACACAGTGACCTTTAAAAGAAATATCTCCCTGGAACATTAATTTCTTCCATATAAATGAGGGCATTGTCTTCTTAACATCAGGAGAAATTTTGAGCATTCTGTTTTGTTAGATATGCCTTAAAATTCAGGTGTTTTTTTAGTCTTTCTAAATTAATCACTATCTTTTTTGATATTCTTACTACATGTTAGACACCTCTAAGCACTTAGTATGAAATAACTCAATTAATATAGTAATTCTATGATAGATTCTATTGTTAGGACCATTTTAGCAGTTAAAAAAAAAAATGAGATTCAGAATGGTTATATAACATGCCAAAAGTCACCAGGCTAGTTAGTGGCAGAGTCTGGATTAAAATTCCAAAAAATCTGTGCTCTTAAACATTACATTTTTGCCTCAGGAAATTTGGTCATCATGAAAGCTCCTGATTTCCTTTGGTTACTAAAAGAAGAAAGTGTAAAATAAACTTCAGTGGTTGTGCAGACTAGAATAGGGAACATAAAATGTTTCTAAAAGTGCTTAATAATATAACCAGATTATCTTTTTCACTCTTTTAAATTATGCAAATTATATATTTTGATAGATTTTTGTTCAAAGTTAACATATAACTATCACTTCTAAAAGATTCTTAAAACCTTTTGTTTTTCTCTATAGCTTGATTCATGGTATGTTATTTTAAATGGCACTGTAGAAATTAATCATCCAGATGGAAAAGTTGAAAATCTCTTTATGGGAAATAGTTTTGGAATTACTCCCACTCTTGATAAGCAGTACATGCGTGGTATTGTCAGAACTAAAGTAGATGATTGTCAGGTAAGCTTTTCTCTTGCTTGTTTGATTTGAAATGGCTGAACCTGATTTTTTTTCGTTCCTTAAAATAAAATCACTGTATGTGAGAATGAGGAGTTTCAATAGCTCATTGTTAATAAAGGAAACTCAATTTTATAACTGCCTCAAATATTTATGGGATTGAGCAAACTATAAATTTTTTAAGAGAATGTGCCAAGTAACTGCTAGTTTGTTGCATTTCTTTCTGATATTAGCCAGCTCAGAGTCTTTTTAAAACAAGGGAAAGAAATAGGAACTTCAGAGTTGTTTGTTTCTAACTTACTCCTGCTTCATGTTTTCTTTGTGTAGTGTCAGTTTTGAGAGAAGTGGATGTTCACTTCTCCTTTTAGAGCAAAATTCAAACGGATTTGACTTCTTCGGTCTCTTTATGTGTACATTGTTTCACCTTGGTTTTTGTTAAAAGTTTAAAGGATTGAATGAAAGAACTGATGCCGCTTGATTTCTTGCCTTTGTGCTCTGCTTTGGTGCATAGTGATATATTTATGTACTATAGGTTCATTAATTGTCCCCATGTTGTTCTTGGACAGTTTGTCTGCATAGCCCAGCAGGATTATTGGAGAATTTTAAATCATGTGGAAAAAAATACCCATAAAGTTGAAGAAGAAGGAGAAATTGTTATGGTGCATGAGCACCGCGAATTAGACCGGAGTGGAACCAGGAAAGGACACATCGTAATCAAGGTGTGTATTTTAACTTATTATTCTAGATATTGATAGAATAAAGTTTTCAACTTGCTTTTTAAAAGGCTCTGAACTCCTTTTTTAAATAGTGCAAGATCACTTCACTAACACATTGAAATCTAATTTTAATCAATATATTTGTTCTTTTGCCTTTTTCTAAGCTGGTTTTTATCCATTTTAATGTTGAAAAATAACTTACTGCCATTTCATATCAGCATCGATAGGGGATGGGTATTGTTTTGGAATATACTGGTCAGTTTTTCTTCTAAAATGTATTTTATATGTAGAAACAATAGAAATTCAAGGATTAGCCACAAAGGCATAGGACTCATAGATGAAAATGCAGAGTTAAAATAGGCATTGATTTCTCCATACCTCACTTTTTTTTTTTAAATCTAAAAATGGTGGTAATACAGAAGGACTTGATTAAGATTAAATGAGGTAAATCAAAAGCTTTAGTACAGTTACAGAATTAAGTATGTATTCTCATACTTTCTCTCTTCCCTTATTCCTTGCCTTCTTCCTCCTCTGTTCTTTAAAAACCTCTGGATATAAAGTAGAGCCATATAGTCGAAAGGGAGAGAATAAATGCATAGCTTCTTGTCTTTTTGGACTAGTCTTGGTTGCTAATTGAAAATGGAGGAATTTATTTAATATGAGGAGTATGGATCGGAAAGACAGCTCTAAAGCTGATATCATGTCTACTCTTCCTTAGAATCAAGACTTTCTCAGAGCTGTCTCTCTTTTCCTAACTGACGGTTTTAAGCTTTTTCTGTAGAGAAAAAAATGAACATATCAGTGACCTTAGGGTCATGTATATATTTTCTTATTTTAATTCCTTTGTCTTTTTGTAAGGACTTCTATGTTTCTGATAATTTCAAAGTTACAGAAAAGTTGCAAGAACAATACAAAATCTCCCTGAGTCAGATTTCCCCCAATTTTAATATTTTACTGCATTTGCCCCATTGTCATTAGTGGAAATGGAAAGTAACCTGCAAAAGTAATGCCTCATCACTTCTAAATATATCATATGTATTTCCTAAAAACAAGAATGCTCTCCTGCATAAACACCATGGAATCCTTCCAAGTTTGGAACTAAACATTGCTGAAACAGAAGGATTCAGCCCAAAAATCATGTTAGATATTCACCAGCAATCCCATCATTGCCACTTTTTTATTTCTGGTCTAGGATTTCATCCAGGAACACAGATTTAGTTGTCATGTCACTTCAGTCTGTTCCTATTTTATATCCTATAGGAATAACCCTTTACCTGGATCAGTCTAGTGTTTCCTCATGACCATACTCAAGTTGTTCCCTCCCAGCAGGAATTTCACAGAAATGATGACATGCACTTCTCATTACACCACATCAGGGGCCACAAGATGTTACCTTTTCCACCATGGTAAAATAAACCTTGATGCCTTGCTTACATTGATGTCTCATCCAGGAACACAGATTTAGTTTCTTCACTGTAAAAATTACCATTTGATCCTTTGTAACTGATGGGTACTTGGTAAAGGGATATTCTGAGATAGTATCAATAAAACTACCTCTAGTTCATAGATAGTTATGAACTTCTACCCAGAAGTTTTTACGTCCACTGACTGACTGACTACTCTTGCCTGAAATGGTGAGACCTTATTACTATAATTTCTTGCATATTTTTAAACTGTCATTTTGTAAAGATGAGCTTTCTTTTCTTCTACATTTATTAATATTAGTATAGACTTATGTATTTACCAGTATTATTCCTTAGATCAAATTGTTTGAGATTTAGCCAGTGAAGCCCTCTTTAAGCTGACTCATATTATTTTGACATGTCCCTCTCTGGCAGATAGTAAGGCTCATCATGAACTTGATTTACACCAGATTTTGAAGTCAGCTGTTTCCCCCAGAGTATACAGGATCTTTTCAGTTGAAGATGGTATTTATGAACCAATATCTGGATATTCCCTTTTTTTTAAGATCCTCTCATCAGATAAAGCTAGGAAATCTATATATGGATGGATTATTACAAATACGTGCCCATTTATTACTTTTTCTGTTAAACATCTAGGGGTTTATACTGATACATCCAATCCAGTATTACACCCTGTACAGGGTTTTCTCTACCCTTTTTCTTTCTGTTTCTATAAGTACATTCACCAACAATGACTCTTGTTATTCTCTGTATATTTACATATTTGCTTATTGTAACCAATCTCTACCAGGCGAACCATCTGTTTTGCCTGCCACCTCTGTGTGTTCATCCAGCATCCCAACTTTTTTTCTTCCACCTGAGACATAGAGGTTTATTTAGGAAAGCAGAGGCATATTTAAGGAAGAATGTGGGCTATCTTGAGAGGGAGAAGTCACTGGGACAAAGCAAGTAATACACATTAAAGGGAGAATGTGGGCCATCTCCAGAGGGAGAAACAGCAACCTTTTGGTGTGTGAACATCCTACCTTCTCAGCTGCTAATAAACATAATTACCTGACTCATCTTTAAAGTTTAGAATGTATAGCTTCATCTCTATAAGAGACCCTACCTCAGTGACTTAGCCAGTCAAAATGATGGCCTCTGTTTAATGTTGACCAGTTTACACCATGACTTCCGATATTTATAATCTAAAAACAACATCTAAGTGACCCTAAATCATTCATGATAATAAAGCCAATTTGGTGTTTTAGAGGGTGGAAGAATAAGAGTAATCTATGGTCTCCTTGTTCCTTAAGTTAGTTAAATGAAAATGCTGTCTTATGACTTCCTTCAGAGAAATGATTTACATACTTTGTTAGCGGTGGGCACCTTTTTAAAAAAGATAAAATTCTTAAGTACTTTGTAGTACTAAAGTATGTTTAATGTACATTTATTCTGAGCAACAAGTTGTTTGAATGAAGCAAATTGAAGTTTGGCGTCATGAGCAACAGTTAATTTTTATATCAGGCTTACCATCTGTTTTATTTAATTCAGAAGCTCAAAGAGGAGCAATGGTAAATGTTTGTATTCTTTTGATAAATTTACAGACAGGCAAGCATTAAAACTCTGAATGTAAAAACTATCTATAGGACTTCTCATTCCTCCCAAGATGGTGAGCTAGCAGAGATAAAATGAGAAGGAAACTATTTGAGGAAGTAACAGCAGTAAAAGTGGCTTTTTTTGAACTGATATATTATTCCTGCAGCTTGGGACAGAAGAGAATTTGAAGTGGAATAAATTTGAAAAAAAGCTTGCTTGCTTCCTTTTTTCTTTTTCTTTTTTCCTTCTTTCTCCCCACCCTTTTTTTTTTTTTTTTTTTTTTTACTTAACCTCTTGCTTCTTCCTTCTTTTGCCTGGGACAGTCATATACCCCCATTATACTAGAAATGGCAGTAAGAGCCCACACAAGGAATAAATCAGTTAATTTCTTGAGGATGCCAATGGAAAAAGGTACAGCTGAGTAAATACTGTTTTGGGTACTCATTTCTATATTTTTTCTCATCTAAACCTCTACTGCTGCATTACAACCTAGAAAGACTAGTTTCTCCCAGCGCTAAAGATTTAAAGGTGAAATTACTTTGGGGAGTTATATAAGGGAGTGGCTATAAAGGAAAATAATCAATGGGAGTTAATTGATTCCGTTTTGTCCTTGGATTTTTAGGCAACACCTGAGCGACTCATTATGCATTTAATAGAAGAACATTCTATTGTGGACCCAACTTATATAGAAGATTTCTTATTAACTTATAGGACATTTCTTAAAAGTCCTTTGGATGTTGGAATCAAGCTTTTGGAATGGTTTAAGATTGACAGCTTAAGGGATAAGGTTGGTTTTAAAAATATCATGGGTATGAAAGTGATTTTAATGTAGAATTTTTGTTTTGAAGTACTGAGGATTGAACCCAAGAGTATTTCACCATTGGATTACAACCCCATTTATTTTTGTTTTTATTTTATTTTGAGGGTATCACTAGTTTGCTAAAGCTGGTCTCAAACCTGCAATCCTGCTGTAGCCTCCTGGGTTGCTGGGATTATAGGCATGCACCACCACACACAACAACATTTACATTTTATTAATGAATGTTTTGCAGTTGATAGATTAAATGTTTACTTTGATAACAAAATTTAGTTCACCTAAAAAATTAGTAAGTTGGTATAGACATATATCTGCTTATCGACTTTTATGATAGTGTAGCCTGTTTCAAGGGGACATGAATTTTTTTTTTTTTTGGACATGAATCTTACAAGGCAAAAATTGAAATAAGGCTGTGATATTGCTCTAAATTGAGGAAACATAATAGCTGTATAAGTGTTTTAGAATTTTACCAAAATATTTTATAATCATTTTAAAACAATATGTTAAATCCTAATTTCTCTGTCCTGCTACTTATTTAAATCTTTCTTTGAATTTGCATTAAATGTTATTTGCTATTTAAAATAGATTATTTTGCCTGTTTCATGGTATGTACAGTTTAATGGAAATATTAGTAATACCTCAGCAAATTAGTGGGAAGTAAGTTATTCTAAGAAAATAAAAAGTAGGATCATAATGGCAAAGAAAATAAGTTAGATGAAGGCAAACTTGATTTTTTGGGGGGTGGGGGGATACTGAGGATTGAACCTAGGGGCATTTAACCACTGAGCTACATCCCCAGCCCCTTATATTTTTTTTTTATTTTGAGACAGGGCTGTCTTTAAACTTGTGATCCTCCTGCCTCAGCCTCCTGAGTCACTGGGATTACTGGTGTGCACCCCCACGCCTTACTAAACTGTAGAATTGTATTATTTAGGAGATTAAAGTGTGCAAAACTACAGACTTGTCTTCCTCTCCTTTTTTTTTTTTTTTTTGGAATTAATTATAATTACTTTGGTTCTTGAGAAAATAAAGGCATGCCTAGAGACTGAAAAAAATATGATTTAGAAATAGCTAGATTTCTACATGCAAAAGAATGAAATTGGGGGCTGGGGATGTGGCTCAAGCGGTAGCGCGCTCGCCTGGCATGCATGCGGCCCGGGTTCGATCCTCAGCACCACATACAAACAAAGATGTTGTGTCCGCCGAGAACTAAAAAATAAATATTAAAAATTCTCTCTCTGTGTTTCTCTCCCTCTCTCTCCTCTCTCACTCTCTCTTTAAAAAAAAAAAAAAAAAGAATGAAATTGGATTCTTACTTACCTTACACCATATACAAAAATTTACTCAAAATATATCAGAGGTTACACCATTCATAAAAATTTACTCAAAATGTATAAGAGGGGCTGGGAATACAGCTCAGTTGGTAAAGGGATTGCCTCACAGGCACAAGGTCTGGGTTCCATCCCCAGCACCACAAAAAAAAAAAAAAAAAAATAGAGGCAATATAAGAGAGTAAAGTATAATATTTTTACAAGAAAAGATAATAGTAAATCATGATGACCTGGGTTTTGGCAGTAGTTTTTCAGATATGACACCAAAAGCACAAGCAACAAAAGAAAAAAAAATAGATACTTGAATTGCATCAAAATTAAAATGTTTTCTGTATCAATTGGTATTATCAAGAAATACAGGACAACACATGGAATGGCAGAATAAATTTGCAAATCATATCTGATAAGGGTCTAGCATCCAGAATATATAAAGTATTTTTACAATTTGGCAACAAAAGGACAAACACCACAATTAGAAAATGGACAAAGGACTTAAACATTTTCCAAGGAAAATGCGTAAGTGGCCATCAAGCACATGAAAAAGATGCTCAACATAATTAGTCTTAGGGAAATACAGCTTGAAGCCATTGTGAGATATCACTTTGTATCCACTGGGATGGCTTTGTAAAAAGAAGGAAAAAGACCAAAAAAAAAAAAATTAAAAAAACAAAGAATGTAAGAAATTAGATACCCCACCCCCAATATTAATGAAGGAAATGTAAAATAATATAGCCTCTGTGAAAGACTGTTTGACATTTCTTCAAAAATTTGAACATAGAGTACCCATACAATCCAGTAATTTTTCTCCTAGGTATGTGCCTGAAAAACAGGCTCACAAACAAAAATTCATACACAGATATTCATAGCAATAGTGACAATGGCCAAAAAGTGAGGATGATCCAGATATCCCACTAATGTTTATCATGGATAAACAAAACATATATAGCAATTTAATAAAATATTATTCATCCATAAAAAGAAACAAAGTACTAATTAAAAGAAGCCAATCACAAAAAGCTAATATTACGTGATTCTGTTTATATGAAATGTCCAGAATAGGCAAATACATAAAAAAGTAGACTAGTGGTACCTTCCAGGGACTGGAGAAAGGACAGAATGGGAAGCATTTACTAAACTAGTTAGTGATGATAGTCATATAACATTATAAATGTGTGAAATGCCATTGAATTGTGCACCTTAAATTGATTGAAATGGTGAATTTTATGTGCATGTGCATTTTATATAATTTTGAAAATATGTGACTCAAAATTACATTGCTAACTATATTACTACTTAACATTTTCTTACTTTTAATCTATGGAGCAAAGTAAAACCAATTCACCATTTTTGAAAATTGACAGTATTTACAAGAATGAAATATCAGATTTGTTTTAATTAAAATTTGGGGTTAAATATGTTCTTAGCTATAGAAACACTTATACTATTTTTATATGATTACCTGCTCTTATGATATGAAGTTTGTATTTTGAGATGCTCTGAAATACATATCCCATGTATTTATTCCATTTTAATGAATATAAGATGACTTTTATCTTCTGAATGCACAGAGTTCTCTGTTTTTGTGTACCCAAGGAAGCAAAATTTTAGACTAAAGCATGTCTCTGTTAGAACAAGCCTTTTTATATTCAAGGAAGGAGAGAAGGAGGTTAGTCATAAAGCTCTGTTCTTCCTTAGTTTGGGGCATGTTTTTGGAATGTACTTTTTCAGAAATAATGCCTCTCATTACCATATGCTGCCTTTTCTGTGTTTCCACAGGTGACACGGATTGTATTATTATGGGTAAATAATCATTTTAATGATTTTGAAGGTGATTCTGCTATGACTCAGTTTCTGGAAGAATTTGAAAAAAATCTGGAAGATACAGTAAGGCTCAAATGAATTTCTTATTCAGAGTTGCTGCTCCTCAGCAAGAACTATTATTCAGAACAGCAGCGGCTTTTGTATTATCCTGCATACTAAATGTCCGTTCTGAGAACTCTGTAACTCTGCCACCTCAGCTGAAACAAAAATCATCCTTTTAGACTCTGTTTTTCATTTTTAGTTTAAGACTAGTATGTCTTAGTTCCTCAGGCTTCTAAGTACTGGGCATATGTGGATCAGTCCATAGTCACCCATGTCGCTGATTTAGGCATTTATGTATACATATGTGTCTTTGCTTTTGGTCTCTTTTTCAGCCATTTCTTTTCTACTTCCCAGTTTAAGAGTTTATTATTTCATTATACCTGTTCTATTATAGTAACCTGCTAAATGGTCTTAGTTCTAGTTTTCTTCTATTCCATTCTGTGTGTCCAAAAGATAGATATTAAAGTACAAACAATGCATATTGCTTGTCTTTGTTAGCACACCATTTTTTTTTTTAAGAGAATTTTTTTTTTTTTTCAGCAGACACAACATCTTTGTTTGCATGTGGTGCTGAGGATCGAACCCGGGCTGCACGCATGTCAGGCAAGCGCACTACCACTTGAGCCACATCCCCAGCCCAGTACACCATATTTTCTACCAAAGTAGTGTCTCACCTTATACTCATGTCACTCATCTACTTTTTCAGGATTTTTCTTATGTACTATAGATTATATCTAAACCGGACTATTTTGTAGTTCTTTGTTGTATTCTCTTCTCCCAGTCTTGCTGTTTCCAAGTATGTGCAACTTTCAGTGCATATCTTTTATATCTGATCTACATTAAGACTTTGTGGATCTCCCTGCTACATGTGCTTTCACCTTTTCTAAATATACAGTATTTAAGAAAATTCCTTCAAGGTCTTCTTAACTTCCACAGTAGCTATTGATGAATACATTTTATTCTCCTTGTCACATAGAATTCAGCTGCAACTAGGTTGTCTGCTTCTAGCAGCTTGAAATTTTTGGAAATAAATAATGTAGTATAATGGTTAAAAGAGTACAGCTCAGGAATCAGTTTGCCTGAATTAACATTCATACTCCATCACTTACTCCATATGTGAATTTGGACAAGTTGCCTAACCTTTATGTTCCTGTTTGCTTATTTGAAAGATAATAGCCCCTACTTCAATGAGATTGTATGAAGATTGTAGTGAGTTAATGAATAACAATATGAAAACAATCCTGGCATATAGCAGATGCTCAAGAATTATAGTCTTCAGAGTCTTAGTGGCTTGAGTTGCCTGAAGAAGAAAAAAAATGGAAGATTTGATCCAATTTTTACCCCTTAGTTCCTATAGACTTCTCAGCATATCTGCTTTGTAAAATGGGGAGAAATGAACAGGGACTGGGGAACCTGATATAGAGGCACACCAACCTCAATAGTCATGAGATGAACAAGATAGGTGTTTGTATTACGAAAGTTCAGAGAATGAGAAGTAATTTTTTTATCATCCCTGTGGGCATGAGATAACATTTTGAAATCTTTTGTTGTTGGTGGTGGTAGTGATGGTTCTAGGGATTTAACCCAGGGGCAGTCTGTCTCTGAATTACATCCCCAGCCGTGATATTCAGTTTTCTTTTTAACTTATCTAAGTTGCTGAAACTGGCCCTGAACTTGCTAACCTCCTGCCTCAACCTCTTCAGTTGCTAACCTGTGATTATCTAAAAGTCTTTAAAATCATACTCAAAGGGCTGGAGATGTGGCTCAAGCGGTAGCGTGCTTCCCTGGCATGCGTGCAGCCCGGGTTCGAACCTCAGCACCACATACGAAGATGTTGTGTCCGCCGAAAACTAAAGATAAATAAATAAATAAATATTTAAAAACAAAACAAAAACTTTAAAAAAATAAAATTGTACTTAGACATCTTATTCTTGAGAGTGTACTGCAGTAGACGTGCCCTCTCCTTTAGTTGTTTTTATGTTTACAGTTTTTATTTTAATAATTTTTGATGATTTTAGAAGCCTATAGGAAGACATAATTTTACTCTTTTTTTTACTTTACAGAAAATGAATGGTCATCTTAGGTTATTGAATATCGCCTGTGCTGCAAAGGCTAAGTGGAGACAGGTTGTGCTACAAAAGGCTTCTCGAGAGTCACCTTTGAATTTCAGCCTTAATGGAGGAAGTGAGAAGGGATTTGGTATTTTTGTTGAAGGAGTAGAACCTGGTAGCAAAGCTGCTGATGCAGGACTGAAACGTGGTGATCAGGTAAGTAAATGACTCACCAGTTAAATTAAAGCCATCTTATCAACACAATAGTCTGTCTGTTATTTTTGTTCTTATCCGATATTTCTTAAGTAGATATAGTCAGTTTGAGTATTTGTCTGAGTGCCTCTTAAGAGGTGGTATTCTAATATGGCTTATTTTTTAAACACATTTATTATATATCCACTGCTGTTAATAAAAAAGTTGATCTAGCATTTGAACCAGCTCAACCAGGCCTCATCATCATGACCTCCTTTGGGCCTGCCTCATACCCCAAGGATTAATTTTGAAGGAAGGGTCATTTCACTTCTTATGTAAGTGGCTGAAGATTACCATAAGTGATGGTATCAACTTAAATAATGTTCATATGATAACATACTACATTTATAAGCCAAGTGAGTCAGGTGAAGGACCAGAAAAAATGAGACACTGAAAGGAATTTGATGATCCATTTCTTCCATTTAGACATAAGGTAACTACTGAGCAGGCGGTTTGAAAATGTGATTTACTTATAACCTTTTGTTACATTAAAAATGCAATTCCCATGCTAACCTCAGTCCTTCCAGGCATATTTATTACATTCTCAAATGATAAAGTTTCTAAATTTGTATTTTTAACAAAGCTCTCTAAGATGATACTCATGCACATCAGAGGGTTGTTTCCAGATCTTAGATACCATCAGACTCACTTGAGAAACTTACTTTTTCATGTTCAAAAACTTATTCATTCCTTCAGTTAAAATGTGGTTTTATTTTAATTTTTAACTGAACCATACTATCACTTTTTTAATATGATAAGGATATTCAAATTATAAAAAACTATTTTGAAAGATGCTATACTTCAAAATAGTGATTCATAACCAATGGGTGATTTCTGCTCCAAGAGACTTTTGAGTTTTTTGTTTCTTGTTTTTTTGTAGTGGTACTGGTAGTCAAACCTAGAGCTTCCCTCACACTTGAGGATTCTACCACTGAGCTACATCCCCAGCCCTAGATAGATAGGTAGGTAGATAGATTTTGTTTTGTTTTTGTTTTTTCCCTTTTTTGGTACCGGAGATTAAGCCCAGAGGCACTTTACCACTTAGCTACCTCCCCAGTCCTTTTGATTTTTATTTTAATTCAGCGTCTTACTAAGTTGCTGAGTCTGGTCTCAAATTTTCAATCCTCCTACCTTAGCCACCCAAATTCCTAAGAATGAAATTTAATCTGCTTTTCCTTCTTCCATCAGCCCTCTCCATTACTGTGGAGATGATCTGAGGCTTTAAGCAACTCCCACACCCTCAAAAAAGGGGATCTCTTTATTTTTATTATTTTTGCATAATACTGTATTATCTGTTTTAGTAGATGCAGGTCTTTTTTAACTTGAATTTTACTTCTGTAGAATTTTCTTTTCATAATGTATTGTTATGCATTCTTTCTTATCCTTTTGGAAGTTTTATATCAGTCCCCTAGATCTTTCTTCTTTTTTGATTATTTTTTATTCATTATATTTCTCTCTCTATCACTCTTTATTGGAATTGGCATTTTTTAAAACTAAACTTGTGTAATTCTGAGGTACAGCCAAATTGGGCAATCCTTGATGTTCATATGAAAAAGAATTTATCTCAGTTATGCTTCTTATTGTTTGGCTACCTGATACAATCAGTGACAGCAGGTTTTTAAATATATTTAGAGAGCTACTTTCAAATGAATTATTTCACTTTTAAATGCAGTAAATTTACACATAGGATATTTGACTATACATACACACAGGTGGTAATTTTTGATATGATCTGATATGGTCAAAATTTTTCATTTATGAACTTTTCTGTGATCTTTGTAAAAAAAGATTATCCTAAAGTGAATGAACTTTAAAAAGTTACTATTATCCAAAAGTGAATGAACTTTAAAAAAAAAAAAATATATATATATATATACATATATATATATATATATATAATTTACAGTAGAGAATTTGGAAAATGCAACCATATAGGAGAAAAAAATAAATATCCATCTACCTTCTCACAAAGAGAGCCGTTGTTTACTTATGGTACATTTTATTGAAGTCCTACTGTACTTTTTCAGCATAAACTTTTAAGCTTTTGTCTTTTTACATTTTCTTCTTAATTTGTATTTTTCAAATACTCTTAAGATAATGGAAGTAAATGGACAGAATTTTGAGAATATTACATTTGCAAAGGCCCTTGAAATTTTGAGGAATAATACTCATCTTGCACTAACTGTGAAGACCAATATTTTTGGTAAGTTTTGTTGTAAATACTGTCTGAGCTTTGCTTTTTTGTTTTTGTAATAGAAAAGTAAAGTCATAACAATGAAAAGAAAAATAAAATGTAAAACATTTCTTATCTGAGCTATTAAGGTATTAGGATTGCTAATGTGTGTAGTACAATTTAGAATTTTCACTTTTCATTTGTGCTTATTATTTTGATATCTTAGAAAGTTTGAAAGTAGGAATACAACTACATTCATTCAGTCATTTATGAAATATCAATTGAGAATCTGTTATATATCATACTCTGGGAGAGGAATACTTAAAATGACCTGAATAGAACTTAGAGTCATAATCAGGTTTTTTCTCCCTGCTAATTTACAAATTAATCTACTTCTAATCTTTTAACTAGCTTTCTGAAATAATGTAAATGCGAGATTGTTTCATGGAAATTAATTAAAGCACTGAATTAATGATCAGTGAATTACAGATTTCTAATAAGAGACTCTACCTTCCTGTGTAAAAATGTTGATTATGTCATATAAACAAAGCAAATGTTCATCTTGTACTTCTTTTATTAAGAAATTTATGGGGTTTTTTAATAACTTTAAGAAGGAATTTATTGTCATTTGGATTCATTTGATACCACAAGATTTTTGTTAAAATTCAGAGAAAGGCAACAGTAAATACAGTATAGCCATTGAAAATTGTCAAAGAAAATTTAAGAGTTTTTATTTAAGAGCTGGTTCCCCTAGGTTTCAGTTGCATTTAGAGAAGTAAGAGTTGACTTTTAAAACTATGCCTATAGAAAGGAAGTGTGAGTTTTAATTTTTCCACTGTAACTCCTCTTTATACTCTGCTTAGTAATATTGAAAAAGGAGGCATTTGTTATTTTTTCCTCTTTTTATTGGAGTCACTTTGACTGAATTACATCATGTTGACTCCGATATATAACAGTCAGTTGGCAACTATACAGTACTTATCAAAGAATAAGTAAGTAAGCCTTCAGAGTTTTTGGATTTCCTAGAGGTGACACTAGTATTTAGTGACACCGGCTTTTAGTTTAAACCACAGGGATATCAGTTTTGAAAAACATGAAACCAGCATTATGCATGTTGGACAGATTATTTACTCTCCAGGCTTCAGTTTCTCCAGCTATATTTCATAAGGTTCTTGTAAAGATCCAATGCCTTTACTTTTTTCTTGTCACTTATTGATTGCTAATTAGTATCAAATATTATTATATACAAAAATATATAGATAGCATAATATAGTGTTTAACAACATTAAGTCTGAAAGACAGAAAAAGTAAGTTTAAAGATACAAAAGGTGTAATGTATAACAAATTAGAATAAATAAGTTTAAATTTTAAAAGATACGAAAGGTAGTGAACCCACACTCTCAGAACCCTAGAACCCTCTGAGTGGTAAGAATAACAAAATGTCAAACTGGATGTTGCATGGACCTTTTTTTTTTTCCTTTCAAAATACTTTTATTTAAAATTAAAAGAATGAGGCTGGGGTTGTGGCTCAGTGGTAGAGTGCTCACCTTGCACGTGTGAGACCCTGGGTTCAATCCTCAGTACCACATATTGTGTCCAACTACATCTAAAAAATAAATATTTAAAAAGTAAAATTAAAAAATTACAATTTAAAAAAAAAAAGCCACCACAAACCCTGCCTTTCTTTTTAAATAATGCGGCATGGAGCAGTTTGGTTTCCACCCTATTGTGCATGGTCCGGCCTGGTTCTGAATCTGGAAGCTGCTGGGACTGAGGTCCTGCCAAGAAAGTGGGGTTCAACCTGGGGAAAAGAGATCAGCCCCTCCCACTCCCTCAAGAGGCAGAGCCTGGGTTTCTAGAGCAACCTGGCAGCACACCTCTGCCACTGTTGACAGGCCCCACTTTATCTTCCCTGAGGACCCAGTGGTCACAAGGGGAGTGGGAACTGGAGAGAAAGGCAGAAGAAATGTGTGAAAAGTCAGACTCTCAGAGTCTTATTAAGGCATTTGGAACAGATAAATTAATTCAGGAAGACCTATCTTCACAGAAGGCTTAGGTAACCAGATACACACACATGCAAGTAAGTTTGTGGAACCCTGAAATGGGAGGAAAGGAGACCATAGTCACTATTTGGAGCTCCTATCAAAATACACACGAACGAGTTACATCCAGGGATCCAGCCCACTGAGGCCGCCATGAGGAAGGGTTCTGTTCCCATGATAATTTTAGGATCCGAGAATGATTTCCATGATGTGATCTAGTTCATTCCACTGCCAGGATCCTGGGACACAGAAGAGGTTGTGAGGAGGTTCGGGAGGTGGGGGGGCAGGGTAGGCTCCTTTTCCACTGCAGGATGTGTTAAAGTTCAAAAAGAAGTCATCCAGGGTATAGTCCCCCAGGTACCAGGAGCTCAGAGCTTCCAAGAAGACTGGGTCAGGTTGGGGTAGCACTTCATTCTGGAGGCTGGGGGAGCCACTGGATTCTGAGGTACTTCTGTCTCATCCATGGATGTCTCCAACTCCCTGAGGGTAGAGCCGATGGTGGTGGAGAGGAAGAAATCTTTTCCTCACCCAGGAAGAGGGGCTGCGGGTGCGGGCCGGGGCAGGGCAGGTGCTGGAGCCAGGTGAATGGCGGCCTGGAGATGCTGTAGGGTTTTGTGGATAAGGACATGCCTGCAGAGGCTGGGTGCTCAGGAGCCCAGGCTGCGCTGGATTTTGTCTAGGGAGATGTATAGCAGAGCTTTTTGGCAGCTCCCAAGGCTTGCTGGACTTCAGTCCCACTTTTCATCCTCCTCCTCTTCCAATCTGAGTGTTTCCTCTTCAGGCCTCTCACCAAGATGCCCTGGATCAGAAATAGAGAATTTCAGGTCTGAACTCTGCCTTGGACACTGCTCAGTTGTGTGATCTCGGGAAATGATGTGAGGTCACTTCTATGAGCCTCATTTGTAAAATGGGTATTGTAAAAATACAGTTGGTCAGGGGCAGAACTACATCATTAGGGTCTAGGGTGGAGGGTGGTAGAGAGTAGTCAAAGCTGCTCCCTTTAATTTAGCTGGTCTTCACACCAAGATCCTGCATGGATCTTGTAAGCAAAGAAAATGTTTGTATACATGATACCATAGCAAATCATTCTTGCCATTTTGTATTACTTAGTATTCTGTACTAAGTAATTAGGATCATCAAGAGAGCATGATGAAATCCCTAATAAGTGATCTTACAGATTAGGAGCAGGGAAGGGGGACATTCAAGGAAGAGACAAAAAACATTTCTAGAACTCTGCTTAGAGCAATTTAAAAATCCAGCCCTTGAAACAAGAACAGCATGTTAGAAGGCGGGGGGCGGGGGGGAGGCATTGAGGAAGAAACAATTCTTAGAGTGATGTAAAATATGGTGGTAATGACGAAAGCATTCAGTAGAAGGAATTGATAATAAAATGGTATCATCCTTCTGCTAAAACCTTCCTACAGGATGGGAGAAAATATTTGCCAGCTATTCATCTGACATAAGGTTAATATCCAAAATTTATAAAGAACTTAAAAAATGTGGTTTAAAAAACAAATATGGAAAAATGTTTGGTATCATTAGCCACCAGGAAAATGCTCATGAAAACCACAATGAGGTAACATCTCACCCCAGTTAGAATGGCTGTTAATAATAAATAACAATTGCTGATGAAGACGAGGGGGAAAAAAAAGGAAGTCTTATACACTATTGATGAGAATGTAACTTAATATGGCCACTTTAGAGAACAGTTAAAAATAGATCTACCATATGATCCAGCAATCCCATTTCTGGGTATATATCTAAAGGAAATGAAATTGGTATACAAAAGAGATAGCTGCATGACGATTTACTGTGGCACTAATTCATCATGCCTAGATATGGAGTCAGTCTAAGTGCCCACTAACAGATGAATGGATACAGAAAATATGCTGTGTGTATATAGTACATACAGCCATTTATATCAGCCATTTTATAAAACGCAAATTTTGGAGCAAAGTGATGGAGCTGGAGGATATCATGTTAAGTGAAATAAGTCAGACATAGAAAGACAAGTATGGCATATTCTCTCTCACATGTAGAAACTTAAGAAAGTTGACCTGAAAGTAGAATAGTGGTTACTAGGGGCCAGGAGGGCGGGGTAGGAAGGTAGAAGTATGGTTGGATATAATCAGTGCACACTATATTCATGTAAAGTATATTGCTCAAAGTTATGCCTTGTGATAAGCTGAGTGGTTTTATAACTTGTATTTGGTTATGTTATTTAAGTGTATTTTCCAGAGTATGCAGCCACCATTCCACATATAATCTATTTCTATAACATCAAGTAGTTAGTTATATTGCTTATTACCTAAATAGGAACCTGTAGATTTTTTAAACATGCTGGCAGCCTACCCATTTTCTGTCCATTTCCTCAAGTGACTTCATTTTATCAGTGTTGGGCAACATCATAAGTACAGTCAGGTTTGAAAACTGAAGAAAGAAGTAGATAAAGCAAATAAAGGATAGGTGATCATGTTTAATTGAATGGGCTGCAAAAGGCCAGATAACAGAAAGTGATTGTATTTATCCTTTAAATTTATTTTTGGTGTAAAAGCTTCCTAATGAAAAGAAATGACAGGTTTATTTGTTTATTTCCAGTATTCAAAGAGTTGCTTAGTAGGATTGAACAAGAGAAATATGGTGTTCCTCATATTCCAAAAATTGCTGAAAAAAAAAGTAATCGGCATTCAATTCAAGATGTCCCAGGAGATATTGAACAGACATCACAGGAGAAAGGAAATAAGAAAGTTAAAGCAAATACTGTTTCAGGTGGAAGAAACAAAATCAGGAAAATTCTGGATAAAACACGATTTAGTATCTTGCCTCCAAAGCTATTTAGGTAGGTACTGTCACTCTCTGTCATGTAGGAATTTTTTATATTGATTGTAAATTTTTTATTGTGGGAGAGGGAAGTTTGGGTCATTTCTTGTTTTTTATGTAGCTATTGCATTATAAAGTCTCATAGCAATCTATAATAAGAAAATAAATTCTAAATTTCTCCCCATGGCTTTTATGAAGTTACTTACCACTGTTAAATTATATAATATTCTATTGATGTTACTTTGAATTTAGAAAACACTTAGTTTTTTATTCTGAGACCTATTTTTATATATTTTTTGGTCAAATTTCAGTCCCTGGTCTAATTTGGACAATCTTGGGACACATTTCACTGCTACCATCATTTTTTTTGTTTTGTTTTGTTTTGGTTTTGGTTTTAAATCATGGCACCATTTTCCCCTTCCTGAAGTCTAATGCTAAACTTTAGTCAAACCTATTTTTTATTTCAAAGCAGAATATCATCAAAATTAAGTAATACCTGAAAATTTTATATGTAAATTAAAGTCTGTGAAATACCAATTAAGTCAGTCCACTGATGAGTCATGGTTGAGAATGCCTCTAGTATATATTATATGGGTATATATTTTACAGATGTACATATATTGTTATATTTTATGATGATTATGTTATATACTATACATATATATAATACAGAAATTTTGTAACTGCTTTCATAAAGCAGTTCTGAGAACACTGAAATATAGGTATAATACTTGTTTATAGTAGGCACTCAAGTAATACTTATCAAATAAGTTAAGATAGTGAATTAATCAGAAGAAAAAAGCATATTCAAAGAACCACATATATAATTTTCAGTATTTTTTAATAGTTAAAATTCTCAAAGATTTTAAAGATCAGAAAATGCTCTTCCTAAAGTTCTAATTTCCAACCAGAGAAGTACATTTGCTCTTCCTTTAATTTCCTTTAAGCTTTGTTCCTAATATCTCTCTCTCTCTCTCTCTCTCTCTCTCTCTATCTCTCTCTCTCTCTCTCTCTCTCTCTCTCTAAAATTCATAACTCATTTTGTGAGTGCCTTGCTTTCCTTGAAGTAAAGGATTTATAAAAATCATAACCTTAAATAGCAGAATTTGCTAATATTGTACATACTGTAGCAAACATTATAAGAAAAGTCTTGTTCTCACAAATGGGGATCAAGTAAGGAGAATATAAAAGGCACCAGCACACATTGAAGAGGTTGAGGGAGGTCAGTTTTGTGATAACTAGAAGTCACTGTGGGAAATAGAGACCAGAAGACAGAAAAGAATTCACAAGCAGAGTTTTTTAGAAGGTAGTGCTCTGACTTGTACTTCTAGAAACCCCAGTGGGTTTGGTCTGGAATCTTTTAAGTGGTTCTCATTTTGACTGATAGCAGAGTTTTGACATGTATATCATTTAAAACCTGAGAATAATGTTAATTATTACTCACCTCAGCTTGTTAGTGTTGAATTCTAGTTAGCTATACTCAAGTTTCAGGCAACTAAATCAATATATCATCTCCACATAATCCTTTGGGAAATGAGAATTAGTTACTGTGCATGGATTCTATCTTTGCTTACAGCAGGAAGCATGGAAGTTGAGATCACCTGTAGTCAGCTGAGTATCTTCTACATTATCACCTTATATTGGTACCAAAAAAAGAAAGATCTAGTAGAATAGTTTCACTTAAACTCAGAAGGATTTTTCTGAATTTAATTTTCCTCATTTATTAACCAAGAAATATTTAGTGTTTTGCTATGATACAAACATGAATAAAATGTGCTGCACTTTAGATGTCTTTACTAAACATGTTTTAATGAAATAAAATACTAATAATTTCAGCTACAGGAGTTTAGTTAAATACATTGTACTGCAGAGTGCAAAAATGACTAGAAGGGAAAATACCAAGATGTTGATTATGGAAGATTTTGTAAAGAAGAATTTTATAGATAATTTTTCCCTTCTTCCCTTGCTTTCTGTATTTTTCAGGATTTCTGCTTTGAATATTTGTTATCTTTTAATTGAAATGACTGCAATTACTGGATATCTTTTATATGCCCAGATGCTTTGGGAGAGGCATCAAGAACAGACTTGATTTGTTCCTTTAGCAGTACTTACTTCTATGAGAGTAGGGTGTGAGTTTTCAGAGAGATGTAGGAGAGAATTTCGGTATCTCTAAAAGGAACAAAGAAAGAATGTAAGGAAGCAAATACTTGAGATAAGAATAAATAATTCCAAAATCCTAAATCATATATACTATTGATTATAACATACCCAATAGTAGACTCTTTTGCTTGCTTATCAGGAATTATTTTTATTCTCCAACTTCTTATCAACATACTTTTTTGTTTGCTTTTGATATTTGAGTTATTTTTTATTTTGCATATTGATGCTATTTTGTAACCATTATAGTTCTATAATATAAAACTAAGTACTTTTATTCTCAGTGAATCTAGTGTCAGGGAATTGTTGAGGAATTTTTCACAAATGTCTTATTTCTATTATTGCATCACCTCTCAGGAAACTGTTTTGGTAAGAGTTGATGTACTTATTTGCCAAATAGGCTTTATCAATTCAGCTTCAAGCATGGATATTTTGCCATGTAAATACTGTATCATTCCTGTCATAGCATGGATTGTACATGAAAGTATAATTTTCATTTATATATACTCACACCTTAATTGCCATGAATTTATAACCAGCTTTTCATGACTACAGCAACTAAGTGGCATAACAATTCATTATTAGAAAGCAGAGTTAATGTTAAATAGCATCAATGTGATATAAGGTCTTTTAGTAGTTCATGAACATCTCTTAGCATCTATAGTGAATTCCAATTTGCTATAACTAATGCAACTAATTCCCTTTTATAGACAATTCTAACTTTTAGTGTCATTTAGGTTTCTTCTACTTGATTAACAGTACTAACTAATCTCTAACTTTAGTTTCTTGGATTCAGTTTTCTGACCCTCTGTCCAAATATTGGTAGATGTGTTTTCAAAAACTGAAAGAAAAAAAAGGCTATTGCTTCAAAAAAAAATCTTTATTTCTACTTAAGAATCTATGAAAGCTGTCCTTCTTTAAAAACAATTAACTGTGACATCTAGGAATACAAATTATAAGGAGCCAATTTAGGGTAATCTCAAATTACTTATCAGATAGGATATTTCCTTTGCCTTACTTTTCAGGTAGATTCCTTTCTCCTTGAGAACAAATGTTCCCATACTGTCCTCTTCTGCATTTCAATATAAATTAATTAAAATAAATATTCTTTCTTAGGGTTGTGTGGTTCTCATTTTAATTTTGGTAAAAGTACTTTATCTTCTTTTTGCCAAAATATTCGCCTTCTTTACCTATTTTAATCCTTATAATAGTTTGGGGGTACAGATATGAGGAAAACCAAGGTCCAGCAAGAGAAAGAAATTTGCCTGAGGTCAAACAGCTAATAACCCAGGTCTATCTGACATCAAAGCTTGCTCTTAAAACAGTAACAAGAAGTCTTTGCTTTCTTCCACATTTTCATTCTTTTCCCAACTCTTCAGCTGTCTGTCCTGGCTCTCTCTTGTATGGCTGTTAACAGTTCTTCAGCTATTTAACAATTCTCTAGCATCATTTTCTAATCTGCCTAAATCATGTTTTACTTCTAACATATTCTAAATATACCCCATATCACTCATTTTTAATACTGTAGCCTTATCCTTTCCATGATAATAGGTAAGTATTCTGTGATACTGCCTGTTTGAATGTACAACAAGGACTAGGCATAATGGTACATTGAATAAATTTAGGTGGGAACTAATATTAATGGAAAGTATTGGTTTTTGTTTTTTTAATATAATGAAAACCCTAGAAGTGGTATTTTGCTACTGATGCTGTTGGGAATCTTCTCCATGCCCTCCCCCATTGCTATCTTATGTTTATGTAGAAATGTTTTACTTTAAAATTTATATTTTGAAATCATAAAACTTAAGTAACAGTATCCCCATTCTCCCACTTACAGGTAGATTTAGAGTTGCCTGTGAGATTCTTCTAAAATATTCTAAAGTTTTTTCTTTGCTTAAATTTGGCCACTTAATTAATAACTTTTTTTAATTTTAAAAGAGAATTAACTTTTGCTGCTTCCTTCCTATTCTGGATTTTGTATGTTGTAAGTAGGGAGGAAGGGACACTTTCTATAATTTAGCTATGCATAGTTGGATACTTATTAATGGACACTAAAATATGCATCCATGTATTAGCTGGCAAATTTTTCAAGGGCTCCCTAAACATTCAGGTTCAGTTTCTTTACCAAAACCAGTTGAAACTGAGTATGACTTTTTTATGATGCAGTAGAATTACTCAGATGTACAAATTAAATTTTACATGAACATAGTTGTTAAAAATATTTCTATTTTCATCATTGTAATTATCCTGTTTTAAAAATTACAGTAATATTTTAATCCAGTTGTTTAGATCACCATTTTGAAATGGTTTTTATACCTTAATACATAGAGAATAAAAATGTTTACTGTTTAAATACCCTCTAATATTTTAAAGTGATATATGATTTTTTTTTTTTTAAGTGATGGAGGCCTGAGTCAATCACAAGATGACAGCATTGTGGGAACAAGGCATTGTAGACACAGCCTAGCTATAATGCCTATTCCTGGAACACTCTCATCCAGTAGCCCTGATCTCCTACAGCCTACTACCAGCATATTGGACTTTTCCAATCCTTCAGGTAATGTTCACACATAATTTTATGAAGACAAATTGATACCTAATGAATAGAAAAATGGTTGGGCCATGCAGTAAATACTAAATTTGCTTGCCTGCTACCTTCTCTTACCTCTAGGTGACTTTATGCTGAAAGCAGTAAGATTATCTTTTTATCTAAACTTGCGTAGTACATCCTCAAAAATTAAAGAAAAGTACGTAAAAACTACCCTTGACCACAGATTTAGATGTCTTTTGGTAATTATTATCTGAGCAGTGAAATGAAAACAGACACTTCTTAGCCAAGAAACATGTTATCCAAAGTATGAAAAATTTAAATGGCCTCGCTAATCTTTCTTAGGGATATATAAAAATGCCTTGGTAATTTTCTAAAAGCAGTGATTTTTTTTTTTCCCTCAATACCTGAAGCTAAAGTAGTTGTTGTTATCAAAGTATTACAGCATCTTTTTCATTGTTCAGACTTTCATTGTGACACATCAAGTTAATTTTTTTTATATATATCTATTGATGCCCGGAGACAGAAATTATCACTTAACTATATAATCTAAAATTTTGCTCCAAAGGATCAACACCTTTGAAGAATAAACTAGATATTATCATTTGAAGAAATTCAAAATGGCTTTTAATAAAAGACACATACAATTAAGTGAACAATATAATGTGTCCAGGGAAGAGAAAAGAAAAAAATGCTTCCACAAAGATCATCATATTTCTGGTGCAGCATAAATTTTCATTTCCAACAGCTAGTGTTAAGAAAGAAGGAAATTCAATTACATAAATCTCCATATTTGAAGAAAATACATAAGTGTAGTAGTAAAGTTTGTGTTTCATTATAGCAACTTACAACCCCAGGACATAATACAAAAACAGTGAGGTCATTCTGTACGTGGTTTTTTCCTTTTTAATTCAGTTGTCTCTTAACCACTAGAGCGACTACTAAACCCATTTATCTGTTTTTGTACAACTTACTTTCTATGTCATTATCAGTATTCTTTTCAAGAATAAATATTTTAGTGAATCATTACTTTGTTTAGAAATTTCTAGCAGTTTATCAGTGAGTGTTCACTTACAATACAGAAATCACTCTCCTTATTTGATCAGAAGTTAATGTAAAGATTGCTACCCACCTGTCAAGTTAATTAACTTAAAAGGGTAAGAAAGCAAGCACTGAAGTATCATAGGGGTGGGAAAATCTACCATCTGGATTCAGTTTCTGTTATATAAAGGAAATGTTACTACCAGTGTGGGACATTTTGCTGGGATAAACCTCCTTTCTTACCTCCTATTTCTGATGTTATCCCCACTGTTTCTTCATCCTTTTTTGAATATGGCATATACCTGTAGAATTCTTTGTCCATGTGGCTTGGACAAAGAATTCTACAGGTATATAGTCAACTTTTTCTTTTCATCAATGCTGAAATTAAATGTTACTCATCTGGGAAGTTCAGCTCCCTCTGCTGTGGTGTTACTTGCTCTTTTTTCAGAAGTTCCCAGCACATTTTCATGGCCTGTCTTTATTTGTTATGTGATAGGTTAGAAATTTCTTTTCGTGCCTGTGTGAATTGTGTTCTACAGTGATGCTTGTTATACCATATATAAACTTTACAAAATGTTTTTGCACTACTAGAGCAGAAGCTAAATATACTTACATTCATAAGACAAGTATTTAGGGGTATATGATACATAGATTTATTGAATTTTTGTCTGTATTTTTGCCATAGGCATATGTAGAATATAGGGCCAAGGTAATAAGGAATGGGCTATGGGATAGGAGAGAGAATGAGAGAAGAAGTAAGTTGAGATGTTAGATGGGGAACAAAGAAAAGAGGTTAAAGTTGTTAAAATTTAGAAACTTTCAGTTAAGCCCCATGGAGCAGAAATTTAGGCCTCTGAAGAGGAGATACTGCCCAACTTGATTACATATTGGGTTGCAATTTCTCTTCCTTGAAAACATTTTTAAAAGGACTGAAAATACCTTTTAAAAATCCATTGAGTGAATCTTAATATGGTTCAGTCTACAGACTGTGCCCGTGTTAGTAATGTAAATAAATGCATATATGTATTTAACTTACAAAATATATTTTAAGCCCCAAAATGTGTGACTTTGTGAAAGACCTTTTACCTAGTGGTGGTAGTATTTTTATTTATCTTTAAAAAAAAATATTTTTTGACAACTAATTCAAAATTCATCTCCTCACATAATATGCAATCACACTGAAATTAGCACATCACATCCATATATTGTAGTACCTATGTGTCATCAGCCAAGCTTAAATTATCAGTCTTGAGCTCAGTTATGTTTGTTCTTCAAGTATAAAATTGTTACTAGATCAAAATGAAAGTGGGGGCAGAACTACAAAACTATTGATAGTTTTATTTTAATTGCTGACATTTTTATGATTTTGCTTTATTTTTGCTGCCTTACAGCTGTTGGTTTTTACTGTAAGTATTTTGGAATTCCATTCCTAGTCTTTGTGGTATTTTGTTATTTTCAAAAAGTCATATGGTACAGAATTGAGTAAAACAGGAAATAGAACTTTTATTTCTTGTTACGAGGTAGAATTAACTGGCATGTATCCTTTTAGTCATTTTCTTTGGGAAAAAATTAAATGTGTATGTGTTATTTCTATATTCAGAGTGTACGGGCTATTCTAAAGCTCGTGAAAAGGTTTTTGAAATTTTTAACCAAATGTAAGATAAAGCCTAAAAAATTCAGAGTGTGGCTAAAAGGAACTTGAAACTAAGGGGTTTTTTGTTTTGTTTTGTTTTTGAGTTTGCAATAAAACTTTTTCCTTATTTTTTCATTTACTAGCACAAGACTTACTTGATTTACTTAATGTAGCAAACTTACTTCTGCATTGAAAGTCTGAGGGCCATTTTTTACTAGCTTTTAATTATAAAGAAACATAATCATAGTTTTTTGAAAAATCTGGTGTACACGTTTCTATTCCCCAGAATTTAGTTAATTTTCTCATGTATTCTTTAAAAAATTTATTATTCATAAAATGTGTACACTATTCTTTTCATCTCAAATGCAATCTTGTACTTTTCTTTCACTTAGCAAGATACCTTGAATACTTTCCTGTATTAGAATGTGATGGTCTAGCAAAATTTTGTGGGGAGCACAGTCCTGAGATTGAACTAAGGGGCACTCAACCACTGAGCCACATCCCCAGCCCTATTTTGTGTTTTATTTAGAGACAGGGTCTCACTGAGTTGCTTAGCACCTTGCTTTTGCTTGAGGCTGGCTTTGAACTCTAGATCCATTTGCCTCAGCCACAGCCTCTTGAGCCACTGGGATTTCAGGCATGCACCACTGCGCCCAATTCTACCAAAATTTTTAAGCACCTGATAGAATTCTTTTCAGCAGTTTCCTCAGTGGACTTTTACAGTGTTTCTAAACACTTATGTCTACATGTTTTATATTTCCATTTCCATTATTGATTTATTTTGAATTTTGTCAGTAAAAATTTTGTAGAAATTTTGTCAGTAAAAATTTTTTCTCATTATATGAGTACCTGAAAAATATCATGGGTATTGCCTCTTGGCCTATAAAACTTAAAATATTTACTTACCTGGCCCTTCAGAAAAACAAGTGTACCAATTCCTGATCTATACCATTAAATCATTACACTTTGTTTTCTTGGTAGACTTTTTACTACAAGAAATCTCCTTGTTTGGTTGATTATTGTCTTTCTTTAGAACACCATTTATTACTCATTTGAATGGAAGTAAATTCCCCGAGAGCAGATTATCTCATTTATGACTGTATCTTTATCACTTGGAACATGTTGACACATACTAGTAATGTTAATGTTCAATTAACAATTTATAGTAGAAAGAGTTTTTTTGTTTTGTTTTGTTTTGGTTTTTTTGTTTTGTTTTTTTTGTTTTTTTTTTTTTTTTAGGATGCTCTTGTTCTTTCAGGGCTGGGGGTAGAGTACTTACCTCGAATGCACAAGGCCCTAGGTTCAATCCCCAGCACTACCGAAAAAAAAAAGATAACAAAAAAGTCCTTTCATTTGAGTATCGCTCTTGACATGTGTTCTCCCACTAATAAAATTATATATGTTTGTAAAGAATATATATATAATAGTACTTATTTGTAAAATAATAGAGAAAGATTTACACTGTCGTTGGTGTCAGTAAAAAGAAGTTTTCCTCTAATGTCTCGGTTATCCAAGATGGCATTTATTATATTGGCAGATTTATCGGGGTTTGGATTATAGGGTACCCTTTGAATTCCACTCGTAGATCTGTGCTAGAGGTACCTCTGTATGATACTTGACTCTCTCTTATGTGATTAGAGAATACCTTTTCCTTGTCTAGAACAGATGGTTTTAACAGAATGTAGCATTTTAACACCCCATTCAGCAAGATATACAACTGAGTGTTTCTTCCTAAAAGACTTTATAGCATCAGGGAAAGAGAACATGAAGTATGTGCAAATTCCCCCCCCCCACCAGATTTTGTGAATAAATTCCCCTGAAGAAAGTAATACAAAGGATAAGGAAGTCCTCACCATTCCCTCAAGGTCCTCTAGTACCACTTGCTGAGGCTCAGCTTCCAAAGCTCTAGTAAACAGATCCAGTTCTGGAGCCCAGGACCCATTTCATGAAGAGGGTAGGATCAAAATAAGGAATAACTGTATATTGTTTGGTCTTTTATTAACAAGTTAAAATAATAGTGAAACCACTTTGTTTCTCCTTACAAACCAAAATACCCATCTGCTTCCAATAATTTCCTACGACATTGTAGAGAAGCATCTCTGATTTTGGTGGATCATTAAAGAGTCCAACCTTAAACCTTGTAGTTTTCAGACACCTGATGCTATCAGCAACAAATTAAGGGTTTGGCTCTTTGGCAAGAAATCTGAACAAGAAGTATATCCATTACTCAAATCTTTGAATACATCAAGGAAAATCAGTTAAATGCATCCTTCTTACAATAGAAACCTGAAAGCATTCTGCTTTCAACTTGACAGTAGATCCAGCATTCAGAATGCATTGGCCAAGACTCCTTTGGAAATACATTCATCTATATTCAGTTGAATCTTCCAGTCCCAGGAGCCAGTTTCTGTCTTTTGTGTTACTATCTGTGGTGAGAGGGCACTTTATTTCATAAAATTATTTCCTGCCATATATGTTGCATTGCTTTCTTTGTCCTTTTAAGACAAATTTTTTAATTTTTTTCCTCTTAAAAATTAGTTACCCAGGGGCTGGGATTGTGGCTCAGAGGTAGAGCGCCTAGCATGTGTGATGCACTGTGTTCAATCCTCAGCACCACATAAAAATAAATAAATAAAATAAAGGTATTGTGTCCAACTACAACTAAAAAATAAATAAAAAATAGTTACCCACTAGCGTCTCAAAAGGCTGAGGCAGGAGGGTTCCAAGTTTGAGGCTAGCCTCAGCAATTTTGCAAGGCCCTATCTCAAATTTTAAAGAGTTGGGAATTTGACTCAGTGGTTTAGAGTTTGTGGATTCAATCCCAGTACCAAAAACAAAACAAAGGAAAAGTTAGTAGTTTATATAATGCTCATAAGTCAATGCTAGACAAAAAGTTAACTGAGCCACCACAGTCTCCCCTATCCATTCCACTACAGTCAACACACATACACTCACACACAGAAAAGCCACAACAAGAAACATTCCTGAATTTTTATAAGAGTAACTTATTTTCATCGGAAATTTTTTACTATTTGTTTATGCTTTCAAATCACTTTTCGATTATTTTAAAACATTGACATTAAACTGCCAGCATAATAAACATTGTTCTGGAAGTTTTAACCCGTACTCTATGATGAGAAAAAAGATTTAATCAAGTAGGACAGAAAAAATGAAAAGATCATATCATAATTCTTATTATAGGAACAGGTGGAATTTATCTGTTAACAGCAGAATTCACAAGGGCAAAGACAGATGTTTAAACATATAAACATATGAAACCTTTCTTTGTTAGAAATACAATAGACTATTAAAATTGGGGAGATCTACCTCTGTAAAGTAGAGTGGGTGTTCATATCTATTATGATTCAGTGGGGAAAAGCATAAAGGATATCAAAAGGTATTTTAGAAAAGAAGAAACACTAATTATTCTTTGAGCCAATACCAGTTACTGAATCTCATCAATAACCGAAGAAATGAAAAAATAATCACATATTTTTGGAGGAAAAGGGGCTTTCAAAAGGAGGAAAGTGACGTAAAATATTATTCTATAAACCATTTAAATAAGGATCAACAATTTTATGCTCTCACATTTGAGGATTATAAAATATAATCTCACGGGGGGACATTTTGGCAATGTCTCAAAAATCTTTAAGAGCCAAGCACAGTGATGCATGCTTGGCTGTAATGATGTAATGCCAGATAATCAGGATTCTGAGGCAAAAGGATTATAAGTGCAAGGCCAGACTAGGCAACTTAACAAGACTCTGTCTTCAAATAAAAGGAGTTGGAGATGTGTAGTGTAGTGATAGAGCTACAGTACCAGAAGGAAAAATTAAGGCTTAGCTTTTTTTTTTTTTTTTTGAAGGTTTTCACAGAGGAAATAATCTGATTGCCTACAAATATTTATCCATTTTGGGGGTGAGGAAGGAGTCTAGGTCATTATATCTTAACAAATATGTAAAATGGTAAACAATAAATGTTTATCATTAGGGGTTTGGATAATTGAAATATATAAGTTGTATATTATGGAGTTCTTTGCCTGTATTTAAAATAATTTTATAGAACATTGACATCATAATGTTTATAATAAATGAAAAAAATATGAGTTCTAAGCTAGACAATAATATGATCCTAATTTTTATCTTTCTGAACATGTATTATCGTGTTTTGTCACCTAAAAAAAAAAGTAGATAACATTTTTATTAATAAATGCCACACTGATTTCTATATGAATAATTAATCACCTACACAAAATAGAAAAATAAATTGCAACATTTACAGAAATAGTTATGTTCCAAATTGTTTTTGAAGAGTTTAAAAGTAATTTTCATGAAAATAATAAGGCATTTTTTTATTTATATAGATATTCCTGATCAAGTTATAAGAGTTTTCAAAGCAGATCAGCAAAGTTGCTACATTATCATCAGTAAAGACACTACAGCTAAAGAAGTAGTTTGTCATGCTGTTCATGAATTTGGTTTGACTGGTGCATCCGACACATATTCTCTTTGTGAAGTTTCTGTTACTCCAGAGGGTGTCATAAAGCAGAGAAGACTTCCTGACCAGTTCTCCAAATTAGCTGATAGAATTCAACTCAATGGAAGGTGAATGAGCTTCTTAGTGAATGTGATTATTTTTTTGGCGGGGGGGAGGGGGCAGTTATGATTCCTTGTTAAAAACACGTATTTTAAGTACAAACGTCATGTTTTATTACTACTGAATTCTCTCTAAAAATTGAAAGTAGGGTTTCTCTCTTTTCTAAGATTTTCTTGTCTCTATAATTATGAAATAGAATCTTAGGCTATTCTTAAGACTTCCATAAATTGGAGATAATAAAAGAGAAAACAGTTTGCTAACTTTTTAAGAACCAGCCTCACTAAAAGCAAGATGCTGGTAAATCAGAGCTGAGTGAGGTGGTGCACACCTGTAATCCTAGCAGCTCAGGAGGCTGAGTTAGGAATATCTGAGTTCAACACCAGCCTCACTAAAAGCAAGATGCTAAGCAACTCAGTGAGACCCTGTCTCTAAATAAAATACAAAATAGAGCTGGGGATATGGCTCAGTGGTTGAGCAACCCTGAGTTCAACTCCCAGTAGCCCTTCTGCAAAAAAAAAAAAAAAAGTTATAAAATCAGTAGTGTGTTCTAATGCTTGTTTTTTTGTGTTTTACAGAAGAGGCAGCAGAATAATACAAATCTGTATCAGTATCTGAATATGTATATGTATTAATATATAAAGTTAGGGTTTTTAGATGTAGATGGACAGCATGCCTTTATTTATTTTTTTATGTGGTGCTGAGGATCAAACCCAGTGCCTCACACATGCTAGGCAAGCACTCTGCCACTGAGCTACAGCCCAGCCTTAAATTTAGTTTTGAAACGCCTAGTGTAGGCAAAAGAAACCATTCATTATTCTTTTCCAAATAGTTTTACTTTTATGAATGTACAGAATTTTTAAATTTTTGTCTGAAAGTTATTGGATAATCTAGAAGATTGTTTTGGTGTTATTCCTTTCTCTGATAACTTTCTCTGAAAATAATCTTTTTTAGTAACTCAGTTTTACATGTAGAACCTTGGAAACCTGAAATGACAATCTGTCATGGTTGCCTCAAGTCTGCTTGTAGGCTATACAATTTATGGCATAAGAGATGAACAAAATAAAGGCTAGAAAAATTTTTTTCTTTGATAATAAAAAAAATATATGGACATAGCCAAGTGTAGTAGCACACACTGTAATCCCAGCTACTCGGGAGGTTAAGGCAAGAGGATTGCAAGTTTGAGGCCAGCCTCAGCAAGTTAGCAAGACCCTATCTCAATAACATACAAAGGGCTGGGAGTGTGGTTCAATGATAGAGCACCCCTGGGTTCAATTCCTAATATCATTTAAAAAATAAATAGATATATAGATAAATTTAGCTGAATTTGTATTATTAGCACCTTATACAATATAGTTCCAACTATAAATAGTGTAGGTCCATATCTCAGCTTTTAAGTGTCATAGAAATGTTGATTTAAGAGAAGGAAAATTAAGGTCTTTTGTACAGATACCAATTAATGCTGTTTACTAGAATGAGAGTTATATTTCACTATTAAAGAAACCACTGGTGGAAAAATTTAGGGAAATAAATAAATAAAACAGAAAGAAGTGAATACAGCAACAGCTTCTAAATAGATATGTAAACAGTCTTGATTCATGTGCTTATTTCACTTGAATCATGATTTCTTCTGTCCATAAACAAATATTTTTATAATACAGCTGTATGTCAGATAATATTCTAGGTGTTGGTCCTCAAGAGAGCTTTCGTTCTTAAGAACATGCATACATGAGGCTGGAGTTATAGCTCAGTGGTAGAGCGCTTGCACAAATGAGGGCACTGGGTTCAAACCTCAGCATCACATAAGTTGCAGAGGTACACACCTGTAATCCCAGGAGGATGGAGAGTTCAAAGCCAGTCTCAGCAAAAGTGAGGCACTAAACAACTCAATGAGACCCTGTCTCTAAATAAAAATACAAAAAGGGGCTGGGAATGTGGCTCAGTGGTTGAGTGTCTCTGAAGTTCAGTCCCTGGTACATACTTAATAAATAAATAAATAGTATTGTGTCCACCTACATTTAAAAGAAAAATTTTAAAAAGAATATACACACATGATTGTTTACACATGGCGAGTAATTTCATCAATGATTAAGTTCCCAGCATAATGAACAGTAATTTTAAAAATATTAGATTCTTACTCTGTCAAATGGCTGAATAAGAGAACAACTCCTTAGAAATCTTCTCATTTGGTGGGGTCTAATGGCACATGCCTGTAATCCCAATGATTTGGGAGGCTGAGGCAGAAGGATCAAAAGTTTGAGAACAGCCTTAGCAACTTAGTGAAACCCTGTCTTAAAATAAAAAGGACTGAGAATATAACTAACTCAGTATTAAAGTGCCTCTGGGTTTAATTCCCAATACCCCCACTCCCCCCCCAAAAAAAAAAACTTTTCATTTAAATTGTTTCCATTTCATATATGAGTGAACATTCTACATAGTAAAGTGTTATTTTTGAAACCCATAATGAAAAGGGACAGCACTCTTACAGATGAAATTACATGTATGATCACATTTATGAAGAAATTTTTTTCCTTTTAGGTATTATTTAAAAAATAATATGGAAACAGAAACTTTATGTTCAGATGAAGATGCTCAAGAACTAGTTAAAGAAAGCCAATTATCCATGCTGCAGCTCAGTACCATTGAGATGGCCACCCAATTATCAATGAGGGACTTCGATTTATTTCGTAATATTGAGCCTACTGAATATATTGATGACCTTTTTAAGTTGGATTCCAAAACAGGAAATACTCACTTGAAAGAGTTTGAGGACATTGTAAACCAAGAGACATTCTGGGTTGCCTCAGAGATTTTAACCGAATCAAATCAACTCAAACGAATGAAAATTATTAAGCATTTTATTAAAATTGCACTTCATTGTCGAGAATGTAAGAACTTCAATTCCATGTTTGCAATAATAAGGTAAGTTAGTACAAATAGGAACAGCTATCTATATGTTTTTTTTTCCATGCTATTACACATGAAGCTGATTTTCTGCATAGGTATTAAGTGCCTAGGAAAAGAAAAGTTCAATTAATAAGACTTCATTGAAGCATTATTAGATTTCATGCACTTTCCCATTAATACCATTAGAATGGAATTTTTGTTTCTTCCATCTTTCTGTCGCTTAAAAATACCCCCCCTTTTTAATTGAATGCGAATCATTCCCTTCCCACCTTTTTTCCCCTCCTTTCAATGATCACACCCTTTTTGATGCACGCCCAGTGATCTAGTCTTTATCATAGACTTATTATAAAGATACTTAAACATGCATAGAACATAGACTTATGTACTATGTATGTTTAAGTACCTGCTTCACTATTATTTGACACTGAAAAAAATCAGTGTGGTATCGATTTTCTGACCTAAAATTGCTGTTTTGAAATAACAGCCAAAATACTATCAACCATTTTATAAGCTCTTCCTATTTGCCAGGCACTGCATGGGGCATTATGGGACATATTGTTATTTAAGCAAGCTAAGCCATTAGAATTATAAAAATTCTTAAATGTTTATAAGCCTGGGATTTATAGATGGTTACATGAGCTTTCCCTGCTACCTTCTGTCTGCTCATTGTGAGAAGCCAATTCTAGAAAATTTATTTTCTGACCTTCATCCAGCACACTGCTCATCAAAAAAAAAAAGGGATTCTTCTTAAAGCAGGTCTGATTTTAAAGAGGAAGGGAGTTATAGTTAGGTCAATTTGAAGGCTTTTTGTGTGTGTGTATGTGTGCTGGAGATTGAACCCAGGGCTTTGTGCATGTGAGGCAAGCGCTCTATGAATTTAGCTGTATCCCCAGCCCTGAAGGCCATATACAGCAGCCTAATTTTTTTTTCCTTCCCACTACCACCAAAACACACATGTGTGTTCCTGTCGCTCATGTGGGGTCTTTTTAAGAACTCTTTAATCATGAGTCTGTCATGGTAATATGATGCCCTTTGTAGTGAGTTAACCAGTGCTACAATTGAACTAGACACTGTAGAAGTATTGAATAGAGATTATCAAAGTGACTTTACAATCAGCTGTGCCTGTACTTGTATTTAGCCTCTCCCAGGTAGTAGCAGGGTGTTAATGGGAAACTTAAGACTAGTTTTCTCTTCTGTAAGATACAGGAGTTATACCACTTATCTCACATTTTTTTTTTTTAACACTAGATCTAAAATAGAAGAGAGATGCCACTGATAAACACTTGGAAGGCTAGAAAGTCACTCTGTATAGGAAGCATCAGGTAAAGGATTTGAGAGTTATAGGCTCAGTTTAGAGTATCCTATGAAGAAAATTGACATGGAGAAAGAGAGTGGATGATCTGTTTAAAAAGAGTATAGAAAGAAAATGGTAGAGAACTAAAAAACTAAACCTTGTATTATCTTCTGTGGGCAGCTAAGAAGAGAGTCCAACCAAAGATGGAGAATCATTACAAAGCAGCACAGTTATGATAGTGTAATTAAAGGCAGGGAATTTGAGAGAAGGTGGTGGACAGTAGCTCAAAGAAGGGTGTAGGAAAGGCCCAAGGTTTAGTTAAGATGATTTGTTTTGTTACAAAGAACATTTATTATACACAATTTCCATGGTTTATGTGAATATAACTGCTTTGTATTCTTGTATTTAAATTCAGGTTTATCAAAGAATATATTCTTTTCATTGGAGATGGAATAGGTGAATCATTTTGTTCTGACCAAGGTTAAATAGCATTTTGTATTAAAAATAAATTTAATTTTTGAAAAAACATTACATACACATAGAAAAAATTCAAAAGATACTTTAAAAAGTGCACAGTGTAGGGCTGGGGTCGTGGCACAATGGATGAGTGCTTGCCTCACGTGTATGAGGCATTGGGTTCAATTCTCAGCGCCACATATAAATAAATTTTAAATAATAATAAATAAATTTTAAAAACAAGTTTCAAAAAAACTGCACAGTGTAAAGTAATTCTCTTCCACTTAATCTCCAGTCCATCCATATTTCTCTCCTATCTTCGTTTATTTAGGGGCTTATTGTTTGTTTTGTTTTGAGTTTTGGCAGGTTTATGTTTCCTGGTATCTCAGGTAATTTTCTTACACTTATTTTCATGCTTTCAGAAATACCATTCCTGATTTTGAAAGTATTTTCTTCTTTGTTCGATTGGTTGGTCCATTTTCTTTCTATACTCTTTGATTGATCATAGAGATTATTCCAAATTAGTACCTATAAAAATGTCTCAGGATTTTTTTAAATGTTTTTTTTTAAGTTGTAGATGGACACAATACCTTTATTTTATTTATTTTTGAGCCGTGCTGAGGATCAAACCCAGTGATTCACACATGCTAAGTGAGCACTCTACCACTGAGCCACAACCCCAGCCCCGGATGCCTCAGTTTTCAAAGCAACTACAGAGTATTCCTTTATACATTATTTGTGGATCATTCTAAATTTTGACCTTAAGCTACTTAAGACAATGTATGATGTTTGTATTTGCTATACTTATCCCTTTTTTTTTCCTTTAATAATCATTTTTCTTTCTTGGAGATTCTACATTTTACATTTGTTTAAGAACAAATGTAAATGCTTTGGTTTGAATCCAGTGTTGGCACTTAATAAGTGAACTGAGTTTTCTCATCTGTAAAATGGGGAATCATGGTAGTTCCTGTCTCATAGGGTTAATTCAGTGAATTAGCACATTGAAAGCTCTCATACTATTATAGTTTGATTTATATTAACAATTTTTATTAATCTTCAGTTCACTTTGATGTAAATAGTGAGGTAGTAAAATATATCTTACTTTGTTCCAAATGGCTTCTTGGTTATCCAGAATAATTAATCTTTTCTCCTAAAATATAATACTGTCATATACTAAAATTCCATACATATTTTTGGTCTGTTTCTGGCATTCCACTTCATTTATTTATCTCTTCATTTACTGTTTAAATTGCTAAAACGTTAAATTTTAAGAACTGATAGAGTTGTACTATTATCTGCCTATTTTCAGCATGTTTGTTTCATTTGAACTTTAGTGTTAATTAGTTCTTTTAAAAAGTTTTGTGGTATTTTCAATGGATTACATTAAATAGATTAGATTGATTTAGCAGCTACTTGACATACCAATGCCTTGTTACACCTAAGAACAATTAACTTCACTTCTCATTTTCTTGTTTCTTTGGCAGTTATAGGTTGTTTATATAAATCTTGAACATTTCTTTGAATGTTTAATACCGTTTAATGCTGTTCTGAATGGGATCCTTATAATCACTTGTTGCACCTGCCTAAGGATTCTAATGTTTATATATATCAGCTTTGTATAGCCTAATCGTACTACATTCTAATTTCTAATAATTTTCAGTTAATTCTTTTGGGATTTTGAGTTAAGACATTCTAATATTTAAACTACTAATAATAACTTGACCTTTTATTCCTTTTTTTCCCCTTAGAGAGAGAGAGAGAGAGAGAATTTTTTTAATATTTATTTTTTAGTTTTCAGCAGACACAACATCTTTGTATGTGGTGCTGGGGATCGAACCTGGGCCGCACGCATGCCAGGCGAGTGCACTACCGCTTGAGCCACATCCCCAGCCCGTTTTTATTCCATTTATCTAGTTTTTTATTTAGTCTGTTTCTATCTGCTGGTACTTTCACATTAAATAGTAATGTAATTATGAGCCTCTATGCATAATTTGTTAGCTCTTAATAAGAATGTTTCCTATGCTTCTTCATTAAACATAATGCAGACTGGGTTCAAAAATATATGATTGAATTCTCTTTTTCCTGGTTTTCTAAATATTAGGGATAGGGCTGGGGATGTGGCTCAAGCGGTAGCGCGCTCGCCTGGCATGCGTGCGGCCCGGGTTCGATCCTCAGCACCACATACCAACAAGGATGTTTTGTCCGCCGAGAACTAGAAAATAAATATTGAAAATTCTCTCTCTCTCTCTCTCTCTCTCTCTCTCTCTCTCCCTCTCTCTCTCTCCCTCTCTCCCTCTCTCTCTCTCTCTCCTCTCTCTTTAAAATAAATAAATAAATATTAGGGATAGTATTGAAATTAATTGTATATTAGTATTATAAATTATTTTAATAGTTTCCTGAAAATGAATTACCTTTCTAATCTGGCTTGAGCTCCATTTAAGCATGGTAAATTTTATAGTTTTGTATCTTTCTGATTTGTGTGGCTTTTTTGTAGATTTTAATGCCAATAGCATGCTGGCTTCATAAAATTTGAAAGTGTTCATTCATTATTTATGCTCTGTAACAATTTAAATCTCCTTGGAGGTAATTATTTGGTTGAAAGTTTGAAAGAACTCACAAGTGAAATTCTCTAGGCCTTGATGTTCTTTAATAATCTCTGTAATCTTGAGACCAGGAGCAACGTAGTACACCTATAATCCCAGCAACTTGTGAGACTGAGGCAGGAGGATTTCAAATTAAAGGCCAACCTCAACATTTTAGTGAGGCTCTGTCTCAAAATAAAAAGAGCTGAGAATGTAGCTCAATGGTAAAGTGCTCCAGTAACTATTCCCACCTCCAAAAAAAAAAAAAAAATCTACAATGGCATGGGTATTTCAGTTTCAGTGTGTCCTAAAATAAAGGTCAGCACACTTTTTCTGCAGGTGAAATGCTTTCTGCTTTGTTGGCTATATAGTCTCCTTTTTGTT